AAGACTGACATGATCAATTATCGGCCAATAAATATTACTCCAGTTATCTCTAGGATTATGGAAAAAATTGTAAGTGATGAACTTTTCAATTATTTACTCGCTGGAAACTTTATCGATGATACTCAAAATGGATTTCTTGCATGACATGCTATTTTGACCTCTTTAGTTTAGTCTATTCTCTACGTAGCCAAGGATATCTAGTCTTAGTGCTATATCTGGACATTTCTAAAGCCTTCGACATGGTTGGCCACCAACTTCTTATAGGTAAACTCGCATCTTATGGGGTTCAAAATCTTTTGCTAGCTTGGTTTGATTCCTTTTTCAGCAATCGACATCAAGTGGTTAAAATTAACTCTTCATTGTCTAACGCTCTCCTTGTTAGAAGTGGTATAATACAAGGTAGTGTCTTAGGCTCTTTGCTCTTTTTGGTGTTTATCAATGATATTTGTGAAAGTTTTTGTGTGGGTAAGCCTCTTCTATATGTAGATGATCTTAAAGTAGTATATTCATTTTCTCCACATAACCTGAAAAATATGCAAAATTGCATCGGCATGGAACTTAACAAGATTGCTCAGTGGTGCTTAAAATGGCAACTGGAGCTCAATACGGCTAAATGTGGATGTATATGCTTCGGCGATACATCACTCAACCTAGATATTACCATAAATGGAGAAATGTTATCTAGGTTACATACAGTAGTAGACGTAGGACTTAGATATTCCCAAAACTTGTCGTTTACAGAACAGAAACAGACCTCTAAATCTCAACGTCTAGTAGGTTACATAACTCGAAATCTTTACAACACTGAGTCACGTATTCTATTGTACAAAGTTTGTGCTCGACCACTTGCAGAATATTGCACGTCTATTCTTAGAAGTGCGCGCATAAAGGATAAATTAAGGCTCCAATCAGTACAGAGACTATTTACACTTCGTATTCTTGCAGCTGATTGTACTTATAATTCCAGATGTAATAAACTCGGGCTAGACAATTTATGGAAGAGGAAACTCAAACTAGGTCTTATCTTCTTCAAACTACTTACTAACTATCCTTAACATCCAATCACGTGATTCAATATGCAGAAACTCTTCATTATGACATCCATAACTCCATGTCACTAGTGAAACAAACTTATCCTAAATCATCTCTTTATATGAATTAATTCACCTGTAAATTTTCTAGACTATGGAATAATCTACCACAATCTATCCGTACGATAAAATCACTCCCATTATTTGTTAACTGTATCGATGCATACTGCTCTTTTAAAAATGCATTGAACGTTCTAACACATGTAAGTGTATCTCATTCCACAAGTGTTATTATAGTAACTTTAATTGTTTAGCCATTTTTGTTAGTGCATTTCCTAAGTAGAACCACCTAGATGCTATCACTTTATGTTAACACCGTCCCTAGCAAGTTTAACTAATTCGAATAACATCAACAGTATATCACTGTGCCACATGACACACGCATTTTGGTAAACTTGATTGACATGTTTTGGTAATTACTGCTTTGTTGTTCCGTGCTCTCTGTTTCCGTTTTAATTTCTCGAGCTGTAGATAATTATCATTAATTCGATCTGGCACACTAAATGACCTTAATTACTCCGTTCATAAATCAACAGACTGTCCATTTAAGGAATATTAAAAGTTTCCAGCTGATGTATTGCATTGTTTTAAAATACATGTACTACTCAAACAATTACTGAACTGGGTTATTTTAATTACTGAACTAGCATACTTAAAACTTTCTTCTATCACACGTTTGATCTCTACGTCTAATACTACTATCTATATCAAATTGATCATGCCTGTAAACTAGCGACAATTATGTAATTATTATTTTCAGAACATATATAATATTATTATTTTGCGATTTTAATCTCTCTTACGTTTGTAGTAAGTATGAGATATTGCTTTAATCGAAACCCATAGTTGGAACACACTATCTCTACTAGTTCCATTTTATAAGCAAATCAGATGGCTAAAACATTCGTATTATGGGTTAGACATCCATTTAGTATATCACACTGCTATGAAGATAACTAATGGTATAAGCCAAAAGAGACTGGTCAGATTATATGTCGTTAAGAGATGGTAAGGACTAATAGCAAACCAAAGGATATTAAAGAGTATAAGATTGTAAAATTTACAGGGTAAGAAAAATAAACACTGTGCAATTTACAAGAATTTGGCATATTATGAGCTTCTTATGATCGGCCTTAGTTGATCAGCATCCATAAGATTAGTGAGTTGTATGTCTACTGATTTGAGTGTCTGAACATTGTTTTTATTTAAGCAATGTTGTAGTTCATAGGGCTGCTTTCCCGCACTTGTTGAGGTTAAATGGTAATTGTCATTTTCTCTCCCCGGATGGTTAGGTTATTGAGGTCGTTTTTAATCAGGGATACACTTTCACTTAGAGTCTCAGGCTAATAGCTGTATACAACTTTGAGATCATCAGCATATAAGTATGGTTCCCGGGAATACCATCTGGTCCATCAGTGTTGGAGTGTTTCAATGTACTAATTGCCTTAGAGACATTTTGTACATTGAAGTCTACATTGGTAATTTCACAGGGAGGTACTGGGATTGGTTAAACTTGTGGAATCGAGTACAGTGTCTTTACAGACGTCTTCATGTACCGACCGGTATATACAGATCTTTAAAGAACTTAGGTCTCCAGAATTCTAAAGTTGCGACTTTGTTGATGATACTTCTGAAGTTGTGATAAAGTATATTGGTTCGTGTGTCGGTATTGTCTGCAGAAAAGAAAGTTCCCCAATCAGTGCATCTTAGGTAATTGTGGAAGTTATTCTAATCAACCTTGTGATCGTTTCTACGAAGTATTACAGTTTTACGTCTACCGGTTTACGTATGACAGTGTTATGGTCACTACCGTGAAACGTTTTTCTAGTATACACAGTTTTGGGGGTGAGGCCACTGGTGAAAACCGAGTCCAGGAAATTTTGACGTCTAGTAAGTCTACTGTCATGCTGAGTCCACTGTTAAAGCTCTAGACATTCAGTAAATGATTTATAACGTTTCGGCCTCTTGACTGGGAACCAAGAAACTTCGGGCATGTTGAAATCACGACAAACAAGCTTGCCTGTGAATGGAAGGGATAATGGTAGTGTGAATACCTCCGATAATGCTGCTGCTTCAGCTATTGATGCTTTAGGTTGATCGTAGACACAGGCGAACAGTAAAGAAACGGGATTCGATGGCTTTAAAACAGTTAACACCTAATTTTTCAGTTTGTTTAGTTCAAATATTATTTATCAGTACAAATTATTTGTTCAGACGTTATTTTCTATTTTATTGTACGATTTGGTCTGTTTGTTTGGCATATAAACCCAGCGTGTTTGAAATAAGCGAGTCATATCGCAGAGGCTGAGATTGGTCTCTGGATTTAACTGATAGGGCTAGGCGGGACGCAGAACCGTTAAAGACTCTAGACTGCTCATACGGGTTTCATTGGTCCCTGGTCCGGTTGATAAATTACTGTTCTCTAACTGGCAATATCATTTTGTTATACATTAATAGGATACAGAGCTCAAGTTATCCAGAATTACCCCATATTATTATTTCTATGCACACCTAGTTGAATGTGCTTGTTTACTCATGTGTAGTAGATCATGAATGATCATACTGTTCTGCATATCCCTCACAAATGTTGGCCATTATAGACCTCACTCTTCTCGACATACCGATAGCCTCCCAAGTGTATCTTCGATCCTCTTCATTTCTGACTTCTGATTTAACTTAGTTGACATACGTCATTTATTAATATGTTATATGTGGAGGCGCTGTTAAACTCCGAATGCATGCGGCATCTTTAACTGCCTCGTAGTTCACACACGGTGGCTCGATTTCTTGAGCTGAACGCCTTCATTTCCAAGGCAATTTTCATTTTACTTCGAATTGTTTATCCCAGCAATCAACCGACCACAAATGGTCACTAAAATTACACTATGTGACCAGTTTCTGTATTTCAAGCATCAGGTCTTCAGCTTTTGGATCATTCCGTCACATCATTTTGTGAAACTTCGATCCCTTTCTCCGTCTTCAAAGCTAACACAATGCATACGATTAAATAGCAATAACTTGTGATATTCATATGACAACGAAGTCGGTTTCTTTGAAAAGCCAAATAATTCAGCAGGTTATAAGCTTCTTTGCCGATTAGTATCAAGAAATAACATGCGAATTTGCCATCTTCAATATCTTTTCTAGTCGTGCGCTAGTTTTCAAAGTCAGCCACACTTGAATTAATATCCAAGCTTAAATCGAATTCGCCTCTAGTATGATAATTAGTAGTATCTAAGTTTATATGCTAGCTAAGAATTCTCGAAATAGTACAACTTATGGCGAGCAGGACCAGATAGTCACACGCGAACGTATTATATTTGGTAGTCACAATAAGCGCGCAATCATGTACAAAGAAATCACCAGTTAGTATGAATGACACAAATATATGCAGATTAACAAATATCAGACAGCAGTCAGAGTAATTTGAAGATGCCACAAGTATTTCCAGTTTGAGTCGTGCCCATCCAGTAAAATCTAAAGTCAGAAGCGTGGAGGTTTGAAGATATATTTGATAGATTATCAATATATCGAAAACCGACTGGTCTGAACTGGCTGGCGTTCGCAGGGGATGTTGAGCAAGAAGTTCTCAATCATGATCGGGTGCGGATGCAAGACCGAGCACTTTCAGCTAAGCAAGTACATTAAAACTAATGTGGTCAGCATCTAATGTCGAAGGCTTACAAGGCTATTGATTTTGAGGATTTATTTACCGCTACAGAGTTTCCTTTTCGGAACTAATTCAGTACAGTGAGTGCATCCGAGAATTATCATTTGCGAACCTACTTTTCTGCCAAATCACATAATAACTTACATTTTTGTTAATCTACGCCATTATTATTCAAGGTTTCAAAGACGACCCTGAAGCTATATAAACTTCATAAGTTCTTTCCGTGCAACCTTTCGAATATGGCCTCTTTAAGCTGCGGTTATAAGTGTCTGCAGATTCTTTTAGTGATATTTAATATCCTTGTTTTTGTAAGTTAGATAACATATTGTGAAATACGTTTTTCCTGAAAGGCATGTGGAATTGCTTTGATAGTGATTGGGAGTCTCTCTCAAGTTGCTATTAATAACTACTCTTCTGGGATCGATTCAAGCATCAAAGGTCTCGTAATCTTCGTGATAGTACTCGGATGCTTCCTATTTTTGCTTGGATTTCTCGGATTTTGTGGGGCATGTACCAAAAATACTTGTTGTCTAATCTTGGTAAATTGCTACATACATTTATTTTAAAATAAAGTACGCAATTCTTCTGTCAATCATGGTTGCGGCTGAAATAGCGGCAGGAATAACGGCTGCTGTGCTGAGAGACGAAGTAAAATCCCAGTTCCTATCTTTGGTTAAAAGCTCCGTCAATGAATATAGCAAGAATCCGGACTTTAAGGATTTCTTAGACAAGATACAACAAGAGGTATACCATTACAAACTGTAGTTTATTTTGTAGTTTCAATGTTGCGGCTCTGAATCCTCAAGTGACTACACATCATCTGGACAAACCGTCCCTGACTCATGTAAAGATACAAAAACTAAGGCTATATACCCAGATGTAAGTTGAGAGAAATTTTGTTTTGGCTTCAAAATATCTTCTTAATTTTTATATTTCTTCAAAAATCTATGAGATGTGATGTGGGATGTTCCATTATTTCAATACGTCTCTTATATTAACTATTTAAAGGATGTTTAAACTTATAAAATGTGTTGAAATAATAACGAGCAACGGAAAACTGAAAATTAAAATCTTTGTACATGAGTGAAAGCTAATCTATCAAATCTCAATGGTAAACTGCTTTGAATGTTTGTACAAGCTTGAAATCCCGAATTAATACTTTGTGAAATGCCTATTAACAGTCAATTTTAAAGTACTACTATCTTCAGCCAACGTGACTACTCAGGACTTACTGTTTCCTGGAGTTGTGAACATGATCTTCTGTTTGCTTTCTTCACTGATATGAATAAAATAGGAGGTTTTTTGACCTACGCCGTGAGATTTCAGACTCAGGAAGTACCTCAAGATGTTTGCAGTTAGGTAAATTGAGTCTTGAAGTAACTATTAATTTACACAGAACCACATGATCATTGCAAATGTCTACCCAAATTTCGGGTATGCAAAATATTACCAATGTGTAGATATTATGATCACCACCAATCAATTTTAAAACACGTTAAAAATCTTTGATATTCAGTCTGGAAATTCTCGTTTGTACTCAGGTGCTAATAGTAGTCATTTCATTAAACTTTCAGGATCACACTTCAAGCCAGAACTATATCTGGTAGTTCATATTTATAAATTTAGACGTTCGGCCTAATACCGTCCATAAACTTGGTGAGTATTGCACACTGACTTTGTGTGATGGGGTAAAGTTAGTGATCATAGTTGTAGAGATCTGCTTTTCAAGTGAGTCATGTCTGATCACATCCCTACTAAGTGGCATTGTTACTTGAGTCAGCATTTAATAAAGAATAATGATTGCACACTGGATACAATTATTAGTACGACGACAAATATGTTTGATCGTTATTAGTGTGGTTCAACTCACGCCTTTACTTTTCACAGTAGTGGATAGATAATCTTGACCAGTGAGGTTTGCATTTGTCTGAAGAGCACATCAAATCACAAATGTTTTCCTTGCTTGCTTGCTTGCTTGCTACTAGAGTACGCTGTTTCTGGGTGAGGCATGGTATAAACGTAGGTGATTATTTAAACTGATGACCAACACTCTGAGTCAGCCATGGATATCGCACACTATCTCCGGTCATTTTGAAAACACAGACCATGTTTCCAGGATACCACCTACCCGACGTTAAAAGATTTTGACCTCTAACACCAGAAATAGGGCAATTATTTCCTGAAACTTAATCTCTATTTTAGTCGAACGTAATAATGTTCTTTTTAATTTCAGGGTTGTTCATACAAAGTAATCTCCTTCTTTGAAAAGTATATTGTCGCCGTTTTAGTAGCGGCATTTGTATTCGCTATCCTTCAATTATTGTGTATTGTTTTTGCTATCTGTGTTATTCGAGCTATCAAATCTGGCGATTCTGACTGAGATTAAAATTATTGAAGGTTTAAACACCAAATTTGATTTTCCAAAAGCCTTTGAATTTATATAATTAAATCTCTTTTTCTTCATATTTTTATTTTATTGTCATTTATTAAACACATAATGGAATTTTGTATTTTGTTCAAAAAACATTAAAAAAGAACATGAATAAGCAAAGGTTACTGGACTTAATATTGTAATATCAACGGAAAATATAAAATCTAAGTAATGTTTTCGAACTTATCCTTTCATTTGCCTTTATTGGTTGTTTAAATGAATTAAACTGACACGCTGCTTCTTACCAAATGTGGAGTTATGCCAGCAAAGTGTATAGACACTTCACATTCTACTACTTCTGTAACTTTACATTTGACAAACAATAAACATAGATTAGAAGGATCCAAACTAGTTCTAAATAAAACAACTTATTGACAAATAGTGTTACGATAATGTCAATAATTGTGATTATTTTACTCATTAAAACTCCGATCATCTTAAAGATTTTGAACTCACTCGAATAGCTAAGAATTAGGACTGAAACACTGGAATATATCAAATAAACAGGTTTGGATAGAGTGGGAGAAAACAGTGTCCGTAATTTAAAACCACTCTACTTGTATTACGAGATAAATGTACGTCTGTGTATGAGACCAAATGTCTGGTGTTTGGTCACCAGTGGACGAGCACTGCTAAGGAGTCACATGTCTGTACGGAGCAGATACCGAGTGCTTACTGATTTTCAATAGTTATTTAACTACGATAAATCTGTAATGATGGTCATGAAAAAACTCGTATTCATGAATCCAAGTGCTGTGTTCCTATTCCTTAGCTTCAGAGAAAATCATGATGAGCGGCGGTAGTATACTGCCATTTGATGCACATTTTGCTAATAGTATTCAACAGTGCAAATCTCAACCATCACGACTCCTAAACCTCTTTTACCCAATTAGCCGTGAGAGTGAGTTCAAATATGAGAGATAGCAAACTATATCCAGCTGGAAATTTCCCTGAAAACCGTTGATTGCTAAACAGATATTGTGTTCTAGTTTGACTTTTCAAGAAAATTGACCTATTAACTTATCAGGGACGCAATTAAATGACATGGTGGAAGGGTTACTGTTTTCACAGTGGGCTGAAGCCATGTCTTTTAATTCCCGTCAACCCGTGATATGATTGGTCAATCATTTAAGGTCATAAAAGTTTCAATATGGTTGAATTCAATCAGTTGTGTCTACTCAATAGAGTTTCTTGAAAATATCTCGAAGTCAGAGATTATTTTAGTGTTTTTCCAGCTGTGTAAACATTTCTGGTTGTGATGAAGTGTTTTACAATTGCTCATCTTGTTTTAGCTTCCATATACTACACGGTTTCTTAAAACATTCTTTTGCAAGGATTACATTGACTTTCTATCCATCCTCACTTATTGACACAATAGTTTTGGAATTTCCGCTGAATTTCGTGATGGTCATTTTCATGTTTTTGGTGTGGTTTTAAATTAGGCAAAGGGCTGAAAAGCGTTGATAAAAAATTCATTCTAAAGTCATTTTGTTTATTTAGATTAGCCAGTCTTAGCCCGTAACATTTCGGTATGTTTACTCATGTTCAAATACGTCAAAATTAAAGACACCCATGTCCTGCTTTAACCCTAAATCACATTGAAATCTGAACAGTGCATTTATCAAATACCAGTGGAGCCACATAATAATTCCTCTATCGGCACGCAGTCTAGTCGTAGTCCAATACACATAATCAATTGATGTTTTAGATAATGAAATTGTCAAGGATAAAGGAGAGTTTCACCAAATGATATGATAGTAATTACAGTGAATCAGTAGAATAACATTTATGTTTGCCAAATGGATTTGAAAGATTTGAGTTTTGTTCGAGTTAACCGTCATTTAATCGTCCTTTATCCTTTTCTCTCTGGGTGTCGGGGTCGTCTTAGAAGATGTACGATGAAAATGTATAAAACTCCTCCGTAATTCAGTCTAGAACAACAAAATTGAAGTTTCTCATCAGAGATCATCTTTGTCTATGCAGCCAACAAAAAACCAAAAGGTGTGTAATTACAGTGAGATCTTAATTCAGAAATTCATTAACGGAATATACATCATTTACTATTCAATTTCCTTAGAAAATACGAACAGTATGTTTATTTCAATTAATTGACAATCAAAGATTAACATGATTACGAAAATGGATTTGATCTGTGGCACTTAATTTTAATGAAATTATGTCAGTCTTTCGAAGCGACACAGTAACAGAACTAGTACGTAATGGGTATATTTAACTATATAAGTATACGAATGTTGTCACAGTATGAAATTCTTGCGAATTAGTGGTTAACCGCTTATATTTTTTAAAATTTAGAATAATGAAACCACCTGTAACAACCTGAATGAAAACGTGAAAAACCGACAACTGATTGAACATTCGTTTTAAGAATAGGCAGTGTATAAGAATCTAATGTTGGTGAAAGCTGTTTACTACGGAACAGAGTATAACATAATATTGGATCACTGAAAGTGGTAGTCACATAGGGCTCGACCATCACTACAAGATTAGAGAAACATGATAGCAGTTACTTAAGATTGATCAATCAATGTTGATATCTTAATCCTATAGGAGAAAACCAGTAGTCCAAACAGCCTCGAAGAAGTCTCTGACTCGGACACTGGATAGAGTAAGTTTGAGTTGAATCATGTGTAATGATTTCGACAAAGATTTATAGGGAACGTTGCTGGTTAGTTCAAACCAAATAAAGATAAGTAGGTTTACAGCTTGTTGCTCAAGTCTTAAACTTAATAACGGGTCATGTAGGAGAGCACTGAAATGCCTAAACATCATATTTTGATCACTTCTCAGTGGTCTTGAGCTCTCTTTGTATGAATGGCTAGCGGATAACTGTTGACAGTCATTCTGTGACTAACAATCTGGAACCTGGAACAAATACACGTCAGATGCTAGTGTGAGCATGGAGACAGGAAATTACCAATATATGTGTGTTAATAGGTTATTGTTTATAAATCTATTCGATTCGGATTAACGGCTTATCCTTATCTAATAAGTTACTGCATCACTCTTAGCTTACAGAAATAGGCTACAATTCCTTTCTCAAACGTTCGCTCAAGCTATTTGTAGGCTAATCACTACTTAAAATATGATGATTATCACTGTAAAGTCAATTTATGCATCTTGCTCTCTTGATAATTTCGAAGAAAACGAGGACAACAAACGATGTTTGGAATCAAATTAACCCATTTTACAGAGACAATTATCATCAGGCTATTTGGACCAGATGCTTATGCATCGAAAGGACATATGATGTAATGCTTATCGACTTGTATGAAGTAACTTCCCTTTTTTAATCACCTACTGGTGTTTACTCCATTATACTGCTTGATTACATAACCACTTATTTCAAAGCAATGAAACAAGCTCATTGAGTTATTCAATAGGATAAATGCTATTCATAGAAGGAAGTTCAACTTATCGATTAAGTCACTTACTTGACCTATTCAGTCATATTTATGGTCACTTTTAACACATAGTAGTCGATAATGGCAAGAAATCGAGTCCGTTAACAAAGTTATGATAATTATCAGAAGGGGTTTTGTGGAGATTGTAGTAATTTCAATAGTTAAGATCATGAGTCAGTTGAAGCTAAACCACGATTGAAAACCTGGAAGTACTAGATGGCCGTTTCGTCCTATTGTGGGACTCCTTGGCAGTGGTAATGTATCGAAAAATTTTCACTAGTGAATATAGGTTGCGTAAGAGTCTTCAGCTCAAAGACAATTATTTACTTAAGAAATATGGACAATTTATGAAGAAAAAGTGAATAAGTTGCAAATAGACTTATAAAATAAGTAGGGGCTAATAGGGCCATTGTGAATTAAGATATTGTACATATCTGTCTTAAGTTAATGAACTGTTATTGGTTCAGCCGTGCAAAAATTTCCTACAGAAACCCCGTTTGACTTAGTTATTTTGAATTAATAGATAATGAAGCAAAACGATGGCATCTTTACAAAGAAATTTTTCCTTACGGCGACGTTGTTCACCACAAAAATCTCTCATTTAGCTAAGTTTAGAGTTGCATTTCTCAACAGTTTGTTAATGAATGGATGTATACACGATAAAATTTGACTTTGGGCCACCTCAAAGTTTATTCAGCATAGTTATTGAAAAGTGAATGAGACTCAGACAACAGCTCTATTACTGAACAGCTATTATATATACCTCCTTCAGAATACTCATTCGAGACTATTCACAGAGTAAAACACACTGGTTCCAAGAGTAGCTGAATTTGAAACTTATACATAACAAAGCGTTTGGAAATTCATCAATTCAATCCTGATCTTTATCATGTTTTTCAAGCTGTATGTCCAGTTTCTTCGTTAAAACAATGGTTACAACACCCTTTCATATTTTGCTAGTAACTGTTTACCATTTGTTTGTTTTATTGTCTTTATCTTGCTGTATTCTTCAAGTGGACCGTTATTTTGGGTCTAGTGGTTAAGCGCTCGCGCGCGAGACTGATAGGTCCTGGATCCGAATCATGCGGGGGGGAGATTTTTGGATGCACGCTACTGAGGAGTTCCATACTAGGACGAAAGAGCTGTCCAGCGCTTCCAGGTTTTCCATGGTGGTCCATCTTCAATTGACTCATGCTTTCAACTATTGAAATTATTTGTTCATATTTTTATCTTCCCCATAATCGTTTAGTGAATAATCTTTCATATCTCGTTTCTACATGTCGTCATTCTTATTAATTTTAAATTACAGTTGGCTTTTAGTACTTCTGTGAATGACGTAATAATTCCTTATTATTATTATTATTATTATTATTATTATTATTATTATTATTATTATTATTAATACTATTATTATTATTATATGTAATGAAAACGACTAAATACAGCTGTATTAAATGACATCATGGAAAACTTGGAAGCACTGGACAACCGATTCGTCTTGGTTCATTGAATATGTACCCAGATGGC